GAACTGTTCCTAAATGCTCCACTGATAACGAGTTGGTAAAAAGAGCAACTAAAATAAGTTGAAGCAGATCAAAGACCCGGAACAGCATATGATTCAACAGTAAATTGCGAAGACAAGCTGAGAGCTGCGTCGATGGCAAAGTCTGCGCGAAAATCGGCCGGCCAGAGCATCAAAAAACTGGAAGAAAATTAACCAAAAAGAAAAAGAAAACGAAATAAAAACTAACAATAAAAGTGGGGAGTTTAGAAAGCAAACGAAGTCGGTAGGAGGGCCACTCGGACAGCGCTTCTGTTCCTATAGCTGGCTGCTTTAACGATACCCATGAATTCCAGTTCTCCAACGCATCGAAAAAACCGCACAACTGGATCGGTGCCACCAATTTTTTGCGCATGCTTTACGAAACTGGCCAGCCAGCAACTGATCGGGATATTCTTATGCTCACATGTGCAATTCAAAAGAGAACGATAAGCAACAGAGAGATCCATTTGCATACAAGTGGGCTGCAAAAAAAACATCCTTGAACTTAGCGAAGTTGAATTAAAACAAATGTATCACTAAAATGAATTATTCTTAAAAACTCTCTTTTATGCAACAAGTGAAATCCAAGTTAACTACTCTAAACTCTTAATGTGAATTGCAATTTTTTTTAGTTCTGATGTAATCTCTCAAGCGACGTGATATTATAAAAAACCAGTCAGTACACCAAAACTGCGGTGCTTTCATGCGTTTTTGCGCGGAACTTGAAGCAATCAGATCGTTAATAACATGAATGCTATTCCTGTATAGTTTAATACATGCAATTCTGTTCGCAATGCTTTTGTCGTTTTTTATATGAAGAAGGAACGTGGGGCCGCGTGACATCTCATTATCCAGTAACTATGATCAGTGTGTATTCTGCATAAAGGTGTTGTTGGCAAAAAGCACCCACAAATTCGCTGTATCCGTATGAGAGACTTAGGTATTTGTGAAAGTAGCTTTTAGATCTTTAGCGGCGTACAAAAAAAGAAAGCGTTTTCGTAAACCTTCTGCTTTCTCGGTTGCGTATTATCGAGAGCGAAGGTTATAAAAATGGCTTTAGTCTGAACACTTACACGTCAGTACGTAAAATACGTATAAAAGCAGAGCTGGTCCCATGCTTGCAGGCCTGCACTTAGTGAGAGAACATTTTCACAAAACTGAAACTACCTGATCAATCTAAAATGGGCGCCAAAATTGGAAACTTTGCCCCCAGAGCTAGACTTGTGCATGCCTCAAAACCAGATCAAAATTTTTTTAGGAAAATACCCCTGTAAAATTCCAGCTTCCTATCTTATTTGCTTTCCAAAATCGCTATTTCACTACAAGTATATTCGACCTGCTTTTATTATACGTGGCGCAGGTATAATTCAAAACTAAATTTAGTTGTACGAATTTCCAAACAGAGAGTAAATATCTTCGCAAAATTACATTATCATTTTCCCACTAGTTTCCGAGTTAGCACTGTGCCAAGTACAAATTTTTGATGTACCTACATAAGTGACGTGGGCTTATGTAATAGTTAAATCCAAAATCTTTTGCTCAAAATAGGCAAAAAGCACCACTTTGAAATTTCAACATTCTATTTTGTCTGGTTTCCGAAACTGTTTTCTCGCCGAAAAATTTACGCTTTCTTTTTGGCGTTTGTAACTGAGACCCATGCAGAGTCAACACTGACTTCAAAACGAGAGCGACATACATGAGTCGCGAGCAGGCTTGTAAAATTTCAAGTTCCTAGCTTCTCCAGTTTTCGAGTTGAAAGTGAGCGAGAAGTTTCACAAATACATATACACACCCACGCACACACACACACACAAACACACACACACATACACGTACACACACAACCAGAAGAACCTGAAAACACATTCCCAACCTCTTGAAAATATGTGTTTTTTCTCTGCTTTTTTCCGGGCTATGTACAATTTTAAAAAACTCAAGCAGACGGACTCCTTTATTCATAAAGAGTCCAACAGCAAAGGATTAGTTTCCGAATACCCAAGAGCTAATAAATAGACCCTTTTGGGTATAGATTCCAAACATCTCACGATAACCGAAATTTCAACATACACTCGTTTTGTGACGTTTGGCCTGCATCAGCGTTGTTTCCAAAGTGGAATAAATACATGGCACAACGAGAAACACCAAATCTGGATTCCCGATCAACAGCTTGTTTTCCAGAAGTGGCAGCTTACGAAAGGATTGTAGGACACCAGATAAAACCTGCAAGAAAGCAACATATTTCTATTTTTCCGAATCTAAAAACGCCCTTTTCCTACTACAAATGGTGTCCTAAGTGTACGCGTGTTGGAAGAAACATAAGTGATAGTATTTTGCAAAACATCAAACTCAACCTCGCTACGACTGCAATCACCTTCCTTGCCAGAAGATTCTCAAAACAGAAAAATGGATGTTTGTTGGTCCTTAGTACCAAACCCAAGTACCAGTTTAGTACCGAAAAAGTAAACGAATCAGAAAGAATCAATGATGGCCTGAACGCTGAACGCACTTATCACTAACATTTGTATATGTTTCCTTCTCGGTATTTTGAATTTTACAGCAAAAATGCAAAAAAATAATCCGATCAAATGCTGGAAAACTTAATAAATTTCAAAAATATTGCAAAAAAAACCTTTTACCTGAGTAAGGAAACTAATAAATCTTTGTCGGTCTTGCGACATCACGTCCAAACGTTTTTTCTCAGCAATCTTATCCTGGAAAAATTTTTCTAAGTTTTCACTGCGACAACTACGATTGCCAAAATTCACAATTCTAAATCAACAGAGTAATGGCCGTACTATGAGACATCTGAGACTTTCCACAGAAATTGCTCTCTGGTTCCTGGATCTGATGTTATCAATCCAATCGGCAAGCCTTTAAGACCTCAGAAAACTGAGTCAATCATGTTTAAAACAAATTGAAAGGAATAAAGCGAATTTTTGCATGCCGAAAAATCAAAAAAAGTGGAATTCATGACCAGCTGCTTACTGAATTGTCAAGGGAGAGCACGGGGGAACAATCAGTGGGAAACCAGTCT